GTTTACACTGGAATCTGCCTTTGACGGCTTTTTTAGAGCAAAATATGAAATTCAGCAGTCTAACTGACACACAATACAAGACAATAACTATACAACAAACTAACTACAGCCTCCAAACACGCTAAACGTCACTAATGTCTCACATATGAAAACTCTCTCTCTGTCTTTAGCTCGCCCGCTTTCCATCGCAGGTGTCACTCCTAAAAACTTCCCCTTCTCCCTAAACAACCAAATGTCACATGTTGCCTTATCATTTTTTTGATTGGCTGACATGGTAAACTCTAACACCAATAGGGAAGGGGTGTTTTTTCTTTTTCTTTTTTCACTCGCAAGCGGAGAGTGTTTGCTAGCGCTGTCTGTAGAAAATGTCATGGCGTGTATTTTTTATCATAACTCTGGATTTATGTGGCCCATCGACACAATTCAAAAACTGGTATAAAGTTTGAAGTCCGCACTTTCGACCGAAGTTGAAATGGAGACTCTGACGTGCTGCATCTTGTAGCTGTGTCGTCTTAAATTGGTCATGTGATTTTGACGCGCCGGCGCGTCCGGTGACCCCAGAGGGTTAAAAAACCCGTCAACATCCAACTTCTGGTTGTAGACTAATAAAGAGTCTCAGGGATGTGGAAAGAGCTCGGCCGCTCTCTGTGTGACAGCAATTAATCTCCACCGCACGACATTCATGGGAGACAGTTACTGTTCAACGCATTGGGGCACATTTACAGAAAAAAAAAGGGCTTTCACTTTGTGGAGAAGAAACATGAAAAATAGCAGAAAGAGGGCTTGAGTACAGAGCTGTGTCTTCCTTCTCCCTGGCACTTGAAGATTTACCCATACACAGGCTGTGCTTTATTGAGTTTTTTGATGCATTAAAATGTGAAGCTACTTGCAGTCTTCAAATCTATAACTTTCACACCTAAGGTAGAAGCACTGACTAATAAAAATAAAATAAAAAAACAAACCGTGCCATGCAAGTTGACATACTGGTTTAATAAAACCTAAAGAGGGTCATTTATCATTTCTATGTCTTTATATATAAAGCAGGGGTTTTTCCCCCTGTATTCCAATAGCTGGATGATTTAGATAAATGCTCTTAGCAGCTTAGATTTAAAACAATTTTTCAACAGGCTGTGTCTGTATAAGTTCTTACTTTCAGGTGTGTAGCTCGCTTGAAGGCCTTTCTACAGAGGCTGCAGACATGACAGCGGTCCTTGCCGTGAGCCTGTCTGCAGTGACGTCGCAGTGTATTGGCATTCTGGCACACTTGATTACAGTAGAAACACTGATTTCGGTTATCAGTATCTACCTGGAGCTCTTTCCCACCCTTATCAGTGGAAATCTGAAGCACGCACAAAGACAAAGAGTTTACAATGCATTATGGTGATGGTATAAACATCAACTGACAGGCACTCTTTGAGCTCTTCCCCTGGATTTGTGAAGCAAACAAAACAAATATACTTACAGTATATCCATTGTCTGTTGCTCCATTTGCGGACTGGGACTGGTGGCTAACCAGTATGACCTGCTGACCTGTGGTCCCTGGCTGTCCTGTTAGGCCAGAATCATTCAGTACTGCAGGGAAAGTCTGACCCTAAAAAACAAAATATACATTGAAAAAGCGCTTCATGACATAACTCATGTCTGACACATTTTGATTGTCATGTTAAATTAGTAATAATGCAAAATAGCAGCTACTACAGTCTGTAAATTGTGCTGGACATTTGCCATTTTAATTGCATTACCTATGTGTATTGGGTTTTTTATACCTGTGTATTGAGGTTTAAGGTGACGCCATCCAGCATGCCCTGAGCATCTGCAAGGGTTAGTGTGACGCTGCCATCACTGGCCACAGCTCCTGGTGACATCACTAGGCTCTGGGAGGCAGCAGTGTGAGACAGGGTGGTGCTTGGTGGCAGACTGGTGACTGACAGGAGAGAGTGGTTAAAAGGTTAATACCCAGCTGGTTTATGCCACCAGCAACTGTGCGCAAAATGCAGACATACAAAGAAACTGTGTTTAAATGAACATTATCCTCTTAGACACAACAGACCTGGATGCCATAAAAAGGCTCATTTTTCACTTCTCCACAAAACCTTTTTCAATATTAGTGTCTCCATTGGTGTAGTGGTTAACACATTTTCTTGGCAAATGAAGGGTCACTGGTTCAATTACAGACAAATATCCCCTTTGGGGTTACGTCAGGGGTGGAATCCGGTGTAAAACTCTGGCTGTCTGTTACAACGGAAAGCTGCAGTTGCATTCACTAACCTCACCTCTCATACTGCCCTATCAGAGCAGTTTTCATTTCCTGTTGGGTCTATGAAATCATATCTCTGGCTGGCCAGAATGAAGGATAATTTCACTCCACGTTTTAAAGAACAGTCTTTTGACAAATATCCTCTCACATAAATCTGGGACACCTTCTGAGACAGATGAGGGTTTGGGCTGGCAACCACAGCTCTTTTGGTGCTTTGCTCTCTGACTGAAACTAACACTGGCAGATTCATTAGGTTTGGTCAGGGAGGATATTACATTAGAGACGCACAAAACTAGACAATATTTGGTTTGAATAAAAATACAGTTTCTCAGTCAAATCACAGGTTGGACCGTGTCTGCAGACAGAGTGACAGGAAGGTTTTAGCCAAAGCAACAAAATCAAAGATGCTCTGTGTGTCTCAGAGAAGCTGTGGGAATATTATTATTATTTTTTTTATTTCCACTTGAGTTAAGTGGAAGGTAATGAAGAGATATAGATGAGACTGAAAATTTGATTAGGCTTCTAGGTGACAAGCTCTCTCACAGACTGGACTTCATAACTATAAAGTTATCCAAGCTTCCAGAAGTTGTATTAAAGTATGTTGATAAACTGCTAATTCAGTTTGATAATATCTTTAAATTGTACAGCTTGTCCTATTTTACATGGAAGTGAACAGGGGTGAGTCTAAAGGGGGGCATGGGGTGTACTGGACCATATTTATTTCAAGGCTTTTATTTTTACATTTTATTTTATTTTTCTACATTTTTCAGATCAAAGCCAGTAAAACCCCACTGACCTCAGCATTGTTAGGTTTTAAAGGCACAAACTCACTCATTCAGTTGTACACTTGAACTTGCAAAGCACATGCACAAAAACTCAGATACAAACACCACAAAAATCTTCACTTTCAGAACTCTTTTTACCTCCTACTAATGTCAGAAATCTTTCCAAAAGAACAAAATTAAGATAAATGTTTATGCCTTTGTTTATATTGCATATATATCTTTTTTATTTGACTTAAGAGTATTTTTGCATTTAATATAATATTTTCTTTAAAAAATATATAATTTATGGCAAATAAACAGGGTCACGGGGTTAAGCTGTTTTTCTTTTTTTTGACAGATGCTGTATCCACTGGAAAACACTGGAATTTCTAACATGGAAACCAATGAGCAGCTCATTTTGAAAGACCTGTAATTTTTTTTCTCTTTTGAATATTTACTAATGCTTATTAAGAAGACAGAAGTATGTATTATCAAATTAGTCAATCAGTCAATGTAACAATCGATAGCTGCAACCCTAAAATCAGACATAAGTGGGTAGCTAAAGAAAGAGGTGTTAACCATCTGTCAAAATTAGCTGCTAGCATTCGAATTGAAGGGTTCCAAAACACTTGAATCCAGCAGCATTGACAGTCAATTGCAACAATTGACAAGCCTGCTTTAGCTTTTTGTCTGGAGAAAAAAAACTAACAAACAAAAAAAACCCACAACCCTGAGTTGCAATTTTTCTGGCACGAAGCAGAAAAGCAGAAAAGTTCAAACTTCATTTCTCCATCCATCCATTCACTTCCGCTTATCCTTTTCAGGGTCGCGGGGGGCGCTGGAGCCTATCCCAGCTGTCAT